GAATCCAAAACTTTCAGCTACAAAAATAACATTGGATCTTCTTCGAACTAAAGGCATTTTGGGACTTTATCAAGGTTGCGGGGCTACAGCACTTCGAGATGTCACGTTCTCCGCCATCTATTTCCCACTTTTTGCTAATTTAAATAAACTAGTAAGTGCAAATTATATATATCACAAATATTTGATTAGCTTCTAAAAAGTTGAATAAAATGTAAGGTAAAACTTTATATGTATTCTGGTTTTGGGTAAATGTGTAATAATGATGCTGACAAAGAAAAACTGTAATTAAATCATATTCCAAGAGCAATGATGATTATTTAAATTACCTTTTAGAATTTTTTTTTAAGGAAAGAGAAAGAAAAATAAAAGTATGGGTGAATTCTGATCTTAGTCATGCAGATTGTGCCATAAACTTTTTATGAAATTTTAAAATACCATCCTAACCCTATTTAGTGATATCAACCTTTAGTCTTGAATATTAATATATCGGGTGCATGTTTATATATTTGAAATGCTATTTGTAAATTTATTGACCATCAACTTAGTATCATTAGTTATACAAGTCCTTAGAATCATTTAGTGGTATAACATGCTGAAAGATGCATAGACATAAAATAATCATTTATAAATATTAAGCAAAATTTCTGATGATATTTTTATAGTTCCATCAAAAGAAATTACTGTGGCTTTTAAAATTCATTTCTTCTTTCCAGGGTAAACGTCGAGAAGGCAGTGACCAAGCAGTCTTCTATCACTCATTTATCTCTGGTTGTGCTGCTGGATGTGCCGCTTCATTCTTCGTTACACCATTTGATGGTGAGCTTTTTTTTGTTTTTAAAATAAATCTTTTCACTCAAAAGTTGGCTAATGTTTAGCTAACAAGATAATTACAGTGAGTAAAGAGCAATGCATTCTGGTTTATTTTCGTTGACCATGTCTGTGACTAGGTTTTAGTGCAAACCTTTGATAATTTAATCACTTGTGGCATTTTATGATTTTTTTCCCTTTGCAAATTCTCATGACTAAAGAGGTCAATCCTTGATGTACAGCTGTAATCACCAGGCGCTGTTGCACTTTCACCCTTCTTTCTACTTCTGCAATCCAGGACCTTTCCTTTATGCTTGCTCTCCAGCACCTCTTTTTCCCAACTGTTAGTGTGAATTTTTAAGAGCTTCATGTCACTTTTGCATACATCAGTATAGAAAAAGTTGGTGGCACTCCTTTCTGTTTAATTTAATACTATTACATGCCAATAATTGTAACTGATACAAAAATTGATTCATATATCTTGTATATATTCTTTCTTTTCTTTCTAGTTGTAAAGACTCGTTTACAAACGCTAAGTAAGGGTCAAGGCGAACAACATTATTCTGGAATCATCGATTGCTTCAGGTTGGACTGTTTTGATTCACATTGTCTTAGTAAATATTTTTGGCTATATCCTGTCCTTTGAAACCTTGGGCTTAGTATAAAACTTGAGTTTAGTATAAAGCAAAATGAAATTTGAAACTGAAACTTCAAAGATTTTATTAAAGTTAGTGCACTGTTCCACATTTTTTGGTGGTTTTTTTTTTTTTTTTTTTTTTTTGAGATTTAATTTTCAAGATTTCCAGTTCTTATCAGTACCCACACAAAGTTAATTTTCTTATGTTCCCAACTAGCCTGCCTTTATCTCATTTATCCTTGAATGTACTTATATTATTTCAATGTTTATATTCTTCAGAAAAGTGATGGTGGCAGAAGGCCCTAAAGCTTTTTTCAAGGGTGCCTTCTGTAGGATACTGGTGATCGCTCCCTTGTTTGGCATTGCACAGACAGTCTATTACCTAGGTGTGGCTGAATACTTGCTGGGACTACAAAAACCATGAGAGAAATGAATTAGTTCTTTTGTGGAAAACATTTTTTTTTCAGTTTTAGAATATTCTTGTTTTCATTTCATTATTATTACTTATATTATTGTACACATGAATTTTTTTTTTCTGTATAATCAAAACAGAAGGTGTGATTGACAAAGTATATTTCAGTTGCATGTTAGGGTTAGGGGTTAGAGACTGATTGGTAGGGTTCTATTAGTACTACTAAAAGACATGAATGAAAGGATTGACAAGATTTCAAGTTTAATGTTTTCTACTGTTAACGGAGAATTATCTTGTATAGAATCATTTTGTGTTTAAACCAACAAATGAAATATAATTATTTTGGCCATTAAATCTCATTTTTCTGAGATTTGTACATATCAAATCTACATACTAAATACATGGATAGTTCTTAGCACTCGAATGGAAAGAAAACTTGGAATCTTGAAGAACCAAAATTTTCTTTCTGTATACTAAAGGAATTCAATGGATTTTTTTTTGTCCATATTTATTTCTAAATTGGTATTAGTCACTTTTTTTGTTGCATAGGAAGCAGCTTTTTTTTATTTTGTGTTCTGAGGGCCCAAGTTACACTATTACAAACACACAAAAGCATAAGGTAACAAATTCATTGTTGACATTTTTAAGAATGGACCAGATTTGAACCAATCAATTTATTGTTTGCTACATAAAAATCTCAATTTTTTTTTATTTTTTTTTAAGTTTTGTGATAAAAGGTGTATGGTGCATTAGTCCTGACAGTAATTTTGTTCAATATTGTATCAGCACCCCTTTCCAAACTTACAATTTTTCCTAAAATCTTGTTTATTATGATAGGTCCAATAATGGAAACAGAAATGTAAATGTTTTTTTTAATTTGTATTTATTTTGTATGGCAATGTACAAATTTTGATTTTTTTTTTTTTCCCCGTTCTGAAATTATTCACTAAATTTTGGTTATTGAACCCAATCATTATTCATGCACATATTTAGCTGTTTAATGTATGGTCAGAGAGACTTTTATTTCCCTTGCCAATGAACAAGTAAGCCATTTGCAGTGCGTTTCTTTAGTCCCACCTTTTTTTTTTTCAAATTTTTTTGATAACTTATTGAATGATTAAAAGTGTTAAGATTTACGACATCAATCAATCCTTACTTCAGACTGGGATCCCTCATTTAGTACTACTGAATAATGCTGCTGGTTTATTGCTCATAGTCTGACTTGTAACACTTGTGTTTTAATTACAATAATGGTTCCCCCTAATCATTGGATCAATGAAGACTTCATATTTTTTGTAATATACATTGCATCAATGGTTACTGCCAACTTACCCCCCCCCCTTATTTTTTTCCTAATTGCATTGCATCAATGGTGACCTCTACTCCTGCCCTTTTCAATTATGGTGCCCTCTACTGCTGTACTCCTTTAATTAATGGTGACCTCTAACCTTTAAAATACATTGAATCAATGGTGACATCTAATCCCTTATGTTGCATCAAAGGTGGTCTTTGACCACTTTAGCATTAAATTAATCACTTCACCTATTGTATCCTCTTTATTTCTTTAAATATGTGAGTCAATTTTAAATAATTTGTTATGGGTGAACTGACTCTGTATTGGTGCATTTATTCACAGCCCAAAACTCTATTCTCCTCTGTTGCATTACATGCAGTCCAAATTAGATCTCTTTATTTGCATTTGCACTTATAATAGTCAATTATATTGATTTGTTTTTTTTAATACTCTCAACAATTACTCATTGATTTCTGATTTACATCTGAATTTTTTTTGTTTTTAGTTGAAACATATTTATCTGTTGCTTTGAATTGAATCTTTTTTTTGTTTGTTTATAGCAGTCTGGATTGTTTTTTTCAATTTGGTTGTTTTAATACTCCCAACAGATTTACAATTGATTCTGCTGAGTTGCCATTTTGATTTTATATCAAACATATTAGTTGATTTTATATCAAACATATTAGTCATTTTGTAAAAACTTTTCTGTGATTTCATTTTTTTATGCTGACTTTGTTTAGTCCTGCTTGGTTTTCCACTGTTCACAACAAAACTCATTATCATGAAGTAAGTTATTATCAAGTCTGTTATATTAGAGACCTTATATATCTGGTATCCTATTTTACTTTCAAATCTAACTCAATGTATGATTTTCTTTTCTTATCCCCCCCTCTGCTTAAGCCTTGATGTTGCTTGCTGAGCATCCATTGTAACTTGGTCCTGCTGTTTAGTGCAAGTCTGTTGCATAAGTTATTAAAGGAAATTTCCATACTAAGGCTTGTCTTCGGAGTCCAAAGATTAATGAGGAAGGCAGTATTTCCCCTGGCCCCACCTACATATTTTGCCACTTCCAGGGCAAGCATAACCATTGTCCGCCAGTGGTCGATTAAGATTTTCTTTTCGTCATCTGGATCTGCTGTTCTCGGCAGGGGATTTTCTTTTGGTCTCTAATGTGTATCCTGCAGCCTTTGTGAGTGACCTCCAGCTATCTCATTCTGAAGTTGCAATAATATAATTGAAAAATGACAGTTTTTAGAGTATTATTTCATCTTGTAAAAAGTTGAATATTCTTCTTGTAGCCTGCTATTGCAGTTTGTGCCATGGATAAGTACTGTTCTTCTTCTTGTCTGTTCCCACAGTCATACAGGTTATACAGTAAAACTTCCTTGCCATTAGGATATTAATGTGTTAAGTTTCCATCAATCTACTGCTGTATGGCACTGTTGACTGTATCAGTTTATTTGTACATAATAAAACTTGTGATATTTTTTTTTTCAAATTTTGTGTGATATCACTTAACAGTATATTATGATTAGACAAAGTTTGAACTAAAAACCTTTCATTAAAATTGTTTGTCTATTTTTATTTAAATTTCTGGAGTTTCAAAACATGTTTAAAAATCATTTATAATGTATTTGCATACATTGAAGAAGGCATTTCTTTAGAGCAAGAAAGTGTTATTCTATAAGTTTGTGTAAATCTTAGTTTTGGAAGTAACTAAAATAAAGACTCTTGATGAGGACAAGCAAAGCTAACATATTGCAAACTATAGTTTGATCAATTTTTATATTTGTTTTCCTGTCATTTCATAATATTCTGACTCAAAAACTTCCTATATTTAGGGTCTGGTAATTTTTATTCTATTAATTTTGATATAAACTCTGCCTTGTACTTCGCTATACAAAACATTCAGTTGCCTTTTTTTTTGTTACTTTTTTTTCTCGAAGATGCTATAGAGGATTGAAATACACTTTTATGAAGAAATAAACCTGTGAATAAGGAGTAACGTTGACACACACCCTACCCCTGTTGCTTTTTTTATTTTTTTTATTTTAAAGTTTCCTTTCAACGTGAAGAGCTTTATCTGCTATTGATCAGTATTCATTTTATTTTGTTGTATCGTTACCTGAAGTCTTGCTTCAGTAAGGACTAGATTGTTCTAGCTTAAAAACTGCTCATTTCACTTTGCCATTCTCCAGCATGTATTCAAGATGAGTTCTTTCTTTGAGATCATGTATCTTTCTGTTACCTGTTTTCAAAGTATTAAGGATGCTCTATACCAAGTGTTATTGATTTGCAATAGTTGTGTTATTGATTTGAAATAGTTGCTCAGATGATTTTCATCACAGGGTATCATTGAATATTACTGGCTGCTTACAATTTTTTTTTAGTAGAAATATTAGTGTTTTGATATCACATGACCTTAAAAGTTCATGATTAATTTTGTAGCATTACTTTATTTTCACATCTTTATTTCTGTTTGTTAAATATTTATGAGGTCACCCAATAAATGGAAGTCAAGAAAAAGCTCTTTTGTGTTTTCATCTTAGATTATTAATTGGAATCACATGATTTTCTTCCAGCATCAACTATGCCCATATTAAAAGATAAAATCTGAACAGTTTGACCTGCATATAAACTCGGTGTATTCTATTAAAAATATGAGGAACTCTAAAATATTTTCTGTGTCACGTTTGGAAAGCAACTACATTAGAGACATGTCATATTCAACAATTCTTTCTCATTTAAACCAACAGATCTTTGTTCATTGAAGGAATTCTGTCTCTCGAGGATTAGGCACAAAGAACCTAAATGCTTAGGTTCTGATTGTCAGTAGCTGTTATGAGATCTATCATGCAAATTATATAGTTTACAAAAATAATGCTCATTATACAGAAGGGCATTGAGCGATTCTAATGTTTTTTTTAAAATAAATTCCATAAGGGGGATTTTGGTCTTAAAACTCCCTCCGAATTTTTTGGTAAGGATAAAATCCCCTTTTTTGTAAGGATAAAACCCCCTTTTCAATACAAGACTAAAGCATACATCTGTGGGACGCGCAACAAGGCCTGAACACAGTTCTGAATGCTACCCTTCGGGGGGGGGGGGATACACCGTAGCCTTGGCCGAGTACTTTGTCCATGTCTAAACTGTGCATAATGTCTTCGCTGACAATGACGTTAGATCCAGGCACTGCGTCTCTCTCTCTCTCTCTAAACAACAGGGACAAAACCTATGAATTGTTCTCGAATACCATCGACATCAACAAATCCAACGCTCAAGCACATTTGTTACATTTATATGTGTATTTATGTTTATGTATGTTGTTTGTGTGTTTGTTTACTTGTAGTCTACTGTTCAGTATGTTCATGTGTTCACGTGTTTTTCTCAAGTTTGTTATAAGTGTGTATGAAAGTCTCCTGTTAGTTCTTCACTTTCTTGTCATGTTAATAAAATGGAGTTGTAACTTAAATAGCAGTGTTGTTATTGCATCATAATAGACAATATAACACACATCATTTCAGCGCCACAGATATCTGCATTTTCTTTAACGAAATACCAAGAAAACGCAGTTAATTCATGCTGCTGCCAGTGCTCAGTCGATACAAATCAATGTTTTGACTCGATGGCAAGGGAAGAACTTTCTTATATCTCTTCTATCATAAACTGGTGAACGTGTTTAAAATAATATTTTATTGAGCACTAACAATGACAGCAACTCTGCAAGACGAAAATACATTATCAAGATAACTGCACTCCTCAATCTTGTTCAAAGAAACTTTCCCATATATCAAATCGAAAGGGGATTTGTTCTCCAAGACAAAAAAATAGGGTGCAAGTGAAAACAAATCGTTACGACTAACATTCTATAGAATATTGAATTGCAAGCCTATAATAAAGCACAAATAGTTGGACATGAACTACAGATAAGCCTATTCTAGTTAATTACAATAATAGCTTATCTTTATTAACTTTATTTCAGTGGAAGCACTACATGTTACGTTGCTTCCTGGCAGAAGTTAATTGATTTAAAGGTGTAAAAAACTGGCTAAAAGTTGATATCTCAGAATTCAGAGGGGTGCACGTAGGCCTGCATCGTCAGCCGTCAGTTCCTGATAAGCCTAGGCTAGTCTACTACAACTTACTTCAGTCACCAGTGGAAGATCTACTTGTTCAGTTATTAATTAGATTTGATGGTGCAAAAAATGGGTAGAATTTGGCTGCCCAGAATCCACGGGGGTGCAAGTGCATGCGCCCATGCCTATGCATTATTACTTCATTAAATAAAAAATAATGCAAACAATTTTTTTCCCCCTATTTTCAACTATCCATATTTTAATTAAACTTTTACTTTCTAATTTCACCTTTTAAACTTTGCCCGCATTTCTTGAGAATGTTTAATTTAGTTTTTATGGGTTACTTTGCAATTTTCTTGTACCTATTTTAAAAAATTATGTTTATATACTCATTTTTTTCATTACTAAACTATCACAAATACAGCTTACAAATGTTAAAAAAAACAACTTCAGGTCGCACTGGTCACAACTGGTTCAAACAGGTACATACCTCCCGCCTCCCAATCTTCTACTTTAGTGTCTGCTTTGCTACTTGTCAATTTTTTTTTTAAAATGTAGACTATATTTTAATAAGTTCGTATGTTTGCTTCTTTCGTGTAGCCCTAAGCCCTCATCGAGTGTAGGGACGTGTATGTGTGTAAGTGTAAATCCTATTTTTTCTCGTGATCTAGAAATGTGTTGCTTTTTAAATATTTTTTAAAAAAAACGTTTTTAAAAACTATTTTACCAGGACTTATCCCCCGCCCAAAGAAATCTTCATTTGAACTATAAAAAAAAAATACCTGCGCTGACCTGAAAGAAATCACAATGTTTGAATACTCGTGATTTAAAAAAAAAAACATTAGGAAAAATATAAACCATGTCATCTACAATTTTTTAAGCTAGGTCCTATTAATCTGAAAGATCCAATGGAGAAGCGTAATCTAATTTTTATTTATATGAAACTTTTTCTAATGTAAATATGCAGGTTTCAATATTTTCAGGAAGAATATCAGAAACTATGAACTACAAACTATCAACAACTACAATCCTAGTGTGTGTTTCCTAAATAAAGGCAACGGTAAGAAGAGGTTTAGCGATTGATTGTTGGGAAATATTGCATTCCTCATGAATCTTTGGACTCGAAGACAAGCTTTACTACTATTATTATACATTGAGGGATAATGCAAATATGAAACGGCAGATCTAGAACCATGAAAGAGTAAATAGACGTTGTTTTGTTGGGACCTAGATATTGTTTAAATATCAGTTTATTTCATTACTATTAGATATATCTCATTGACCAACCAACACAAATGTGGAGGGGGCGGCGAATTTTTTGTATTTCAGTGCAACTTACCTAAATATTAGTAAAGTGACATTATTACCACTGTTTTAAAATTAAAATATCATAAGTAGGAGACGTTGTTTCATCTTCTAATAAAACCTTGTCAAATGTTGTTTTTTTTCGAGAGAGGCGTATGCAACAATATGGGTCAAAACGTTCTGAAGAAAGCATTCCTCTACTAGTGTAATTCTTCTGGATTTCTTGTTTCAGTATCGTCGAATATCTTCCGACTTTGCATTTCATTATAATGACGACTTTTGTGTGAAAAAAAAAAAGATCCATGAAAGAGATGTCTTACTTAAAACGAAGAATATTTTTCAAAAGATCACGCCCATTACAGACATCCGTGCGCATTATGTAGGCCTATCTAGAATATCTCTTGTATAATACTATTGACCAGGGTTGCCTCATTATTATTACACTTAATATGGCCCTCGACTTTTATTATGATGAATAGTGGGTTCTGAAATAATTATTAAAACACATCACTATTGGCCTTTTTTTTTTATATTCTCTCTTCTTACTATTAGAAAAAGGCGTTGTAGTTAGGTTGACGACCTTCGTATGACAAAACTAAAAAGTTCGCTGCAAGGCTTCTTTACACGAAGATTATCGTCACATACCTCGAACATCCCTGGCGTAATAGTATTGGAAAATGTCGCCTCCTTCTTTATTAGACTTAATTTTAGCGGCTTTTTAAATTACTATAAACAGTACACTCAGAATTCAAAAAAAAACTTCATTATCGGAACGTCCCACTCCGTTTAACATTGACATGGGCTTTTCTTACTAATGAAACAAAATGCTTTGCGCCTATCGGCGTTTCCCCAGACTGCATAGCTGGAGGGACAGCCCTTGAGTGTCATAACTCTAGCAACTTGTCCTGTAGCAGAGATAGATGTCATCTTGCTAGATTTTGAAATCTTTATAGATTTGTTTCAAGAAATATTCAAACAATCTGTTATAAATTGAGCCATAAGATGTTTCCGAAAGAAATTGGCTCGAAGAGTGGGTCTTTCGGAATGTGACTCTTTTCAACTGCTTGTTGTGACAGATATAGCTCTATCATCTTTTAGTCAATTAATATATGTGCTGAAATGAAATAACAAAATAATATTATATTACTTTTGTAACAAACAAATAAAAAATTAACAAAGGTACTGGTCATACAAAATGAATATCAACCTGTGCATTTGGCCAGTGTTGGGTATTTTGGACTCATGTTATCAAATAAGCTATAAAATAATCTACTTACCACTACTGTTTTAGATCTAGTTCCACCACTGAATTCAAGTCTAAATCTTATCTAAAGTCTAACTCTAAATCCATGCCAAGATTTTTTTTCGAGACCCCCCCCCCCCCCCTATTTGGTTCCTGGTCATTTCATCCTTGGTCACTTTATCCTTGGTCACTTCATCCTTGGTCACTTCATCCTTGGTCACTTTATCCTTGGTCACTTTATCCTTGGTCACTTCATCCTTGGTCACTTCATCCTTGGTCACTTCATCCTTGGTCACTTCATCCTTGGTCACTTCATCCTTGGTCACTTCATCCTTGGTCACTTCATCCTTGGTCACTTCATCCTTGGTCACTTCATCCTTGGTCACTTCATCCTTGGTCACTTCATCCATCCCATAGTCATTTCATACTCTTCATATATTTATTTTTATTTACATGACAAAAAGTGTGACACATTAAATACAAATAGGATTTAAAGTTATTAAAAAATATAAAAATGTAGCATCTATAGATATAGAGCTAATGTAAAAATTAATTTGGCGTGTTAATCTAAATCACTATTATAGACAGTAGGTAAGTACAGAAGACGATTCATTGATTCATATTGCTGTACACCGTTTGTGATTTCTTCTTAAAACGTTCATGTTTTAATGGAGTTTAAAACAAAATGTATAAAGGCAATATGAATCGGCTCCGCAGGATGATTGAAGTCTGCGTTTAATGGAATAAAAATGACATGCCCATATTCAAGAAAGAACGATTGAAAAATGGTTATCAGGAGATAAGTTATCAGTGAAATGACCAATAGTATTCTAATCATTCTCATCTCTCAAAAGATTTTCACTACTTCAACCACACCTTGGCCTTTGATCATTAAATCATGT